AGCCCCCCCAGGACCCCTCCGAAGCCCCCCCAGCCCCCCCAGGACCCCTCCCCAGCCCCCCCGGCTCTCACAGCTCCGCAGGTCCCGGCTGAGCGATCGAGGCCGTCCCGGGCTCTTTTGTAGCCGCGGGCGGGGCGGGGGGGCCGGGGCTGGCACCGCATCAAAGGGAGGGGCCGCGACAGGCACCGGGACCCCCCCGGGACACCCCGGGACCCCTCTGGGACACCCCCGGGACCCCCCGGGACACCACCGGGACACCCCGGGACCCCTCTGGGACCCCCCGGGACACCCCCGGGACCCCACCGGGACCCCACTCCCGTATCCCCTGTGATAAGGGATTGATAAGGGATTGATAAGGGATTGAGAGCGGATTGATACGGGATTGATACTGGATCTGATAAGAGATTGATACGGGATTGATACGGGATTGATAAGAGATTGATACGGGATTGATAAGAGATTGATAATGGATTGATACGGGAGTGATACGGGACTGATAGGGGATTGTTACGGGATTGATAAGAGATTGATACGGGATTGATAAGGGATTGATAAGGGATTGATAATGGATTGATAAAGGATTGATAGGGGATTGATAAGGGATTTATACGGGATTGATACGGGATTGATACGGGATTGATAAGAGATTGATACGGGATTGACAAGGGATTGTTACGGGATTGATACGGGATTGATAAGGGATTGATAAGGGATTGATACGGGATTGATAAGGGATTGATACGGGATTGATAAGGGATTGATAAGGGATTGATACGGGATTGATAAGGGATTGATACGGGATTGATAAGGGATTGATACGGCATTGTTACGGGGTTGATAAGGGATTGACAAGGGATTGATACGGGATTGATAAGGGATTGATACGGGATTGGTAGGGGATTGATATGGGATTGATAAGGGATTGATAAGGGATTGATACGGGATTGATACGGGAGTGATGTGGGATTGACACTGGACCTGATAAGGGGTTGATAATGGATTGATAAAGGATTGATACGGGATTGATAAGGGGTCGGGGGTCGGGATGTCACCCCGGTTTGGGGTCGGGATGTGGGGCACAGCCCTGTGCTGGGGGGTGACAGTGACCCCATGGGACCCTCCCCGGGGGGAGATGTCCCTGTCCCCGGCCTGGGCTCTCTCCCAGAGGGGTTTTTGTCCTTGTTCCCTGTCCCTGTCCCCTCTCCCGGGGTGATTTCTGTCCTTGTCCCCTCTCCCAGGGTGTCCCAGTCCCGGTCCCTGTCCCCTCTCCCGGGGTGATTTCTGTCCCTGTCCCCTCTCCCGGGATGATTTCTGTCCCCGTCCCTGTCCCCGTGCCCGGTCTGGCCCCTCGCCCGCCGCTGGCTCCGGGCTGGCGGCGCCGGTCGGGCGCGGGTGGAGACGGCGGGAGGGGAGGGAGGGGACGGTGCCAGGGCAGTGCCAGGACAGTGCCAGGACACTCCCAGCCCGGTGCCAGCCCAGTCCCAGCCCGGTGCCAGCGCTGTCCCAGCCCGGTCCCATCCCGGTGCCAGGGCAGTGCCAGGACACTCCCAGCCCGGTCCCAGCCCGGTCCCATCCCGGTGCCAGCGCTGTCCCAGCCCGGTGCCAGCCCGGTGCCAGCCCAGTCCCAGCCCGGTGCCAGCGCTGTCCCAGCCCGGTCCCATCCCGGTGCCAGGGCTGTTCCAGCCCAGTCCCATCCCGGTCCCATCCCGGTCCCAGCCCGTTCCCATGCCGGTCCCAGCCCAGTCCCATCCCGGTCCCAGCCCGTTCCCATGCCGGTGGCAGCCGGGGCGCGGTGACCCCCGGGCCGGACACGGGCCAGGGGCTCTGCGCAGGACCCGCCCGAGCCGCCGCGCCCCGCTGAGCACCCCCGTCAGTACCGGGGGGCGGAACCGGGACACGGGAACCGGGGATGGGCACCGGGAACGGGACACGGGGATGGGAACCGGGAACCGGGACACGGGGATGGGACACGGGGATGGGAACCGGGCACCGGGAACCGGGAACGGGAACGGGACACGGGAATGGGGGTGGGGATGGGCACGGATCTGGGAACGGGAACGGATCTCCAGGATGGGAATGGGCACGGATCAACGGGACGGGAACGGGTATGGATCTGGGATGGGCACGGATCGATGGGATGGGCACGGATCGACGGGGTGGGCACGGATCAATGGGGTGGGCACGGATCGATGGGATGGGCACAGATCACTGTTCCAGGCACGGATCTCCGGGATGGGCACGGATCCAGGGATGGGAATGGATCCAGGGATGGGCACGGATCACCGTTCCAGGCACGGATCTCCGGGATCACGGCCCCAGCCACGGCGCTTTGGGAACCCTCACGGTGCCCCGGCCGGTGCCCACCGGGACCCCCCGAGGGATCCATCACCCCATGGATCCAACCCTGGGACCCCCCGAGGGATCCATCACCCCATGGATCCAACCCCGGCACCCCCAGGACGCTCCCCGGCATTCCATGGATCCACGGACACCCCCAGGACACCCCAAGGACACCCCCAGGACACCCCAGGACACCCCCAGGACACCCCAGGGTACCCCAGAACACCCCAGGACACCCCCAGGGTACCCCAGGACACCCCGGAC